GTTTTGTTTGTTCATTATTTGCTATTAAACTACAGTATAAATAATGTAAACTCATTCATGACTGCATATTGGAATGGCTATTCGGACAGGTATTGGACGGTGACATCATGTGTTTACTCTTGAACACAGCAAAGAATTAAACATTTCTGCTACTGCTAATAATAACAATAGTAATAATAATAATAATAATATAATAATAATACGATATAATTGAAGAAGGAAATTGTACAAAAATACGAGGGAGTGGTTGACACATCGTCAGTGTGGCTTTGTTTATGCTGGAGTGAACATTAGTCTCCCTGCTCTTCCAAACATTTCACAATAATTCAGCGGTTGAGGCAGTGGTATTTAATAACATATATGTTATAAATAATAATAGTACATATTAATAACATGTATTATTATTATTAATAACATGTATGTTATTAAATACCACTGCCTCAATCGCTTCCTCACCAGCTGCCTCACCCACTGCCTCAATCGCTGCCTCAACAGCTGCCTCAACAGCTGCCTCAATCGCTGCCTCACCCACTGCCTCAATCGCTGCCTCAACATCTGCCTCAGTGACCACTGCCTCAACAGCTGCCTCAATCGCTGCCTCAACAGCTGCCTCAATCGCTGCCTCAACAGCTGCCTCAATCGCTGCCTCAACAGCTGCCTCAATCGCTGCCTCAACAGCTGCCTCATGCACTGCCTCATGCAGCTGCTTCACCCACTGCCTCAATCGCTGCCTCAACAGCTGCCTCACCCACTGCCTCAATCGCTGCCTCACCCACTGCCTCAATCACTGCCTCACCCACTGCCACAATCGCTGCCTCAACAGCTGCCTCAATCGCTGCCTCAACAGCTGCCTCAACAGCTGCCTCAACCAGTGCCTCTACCACTCCAGTCGCACTCAATCTACAAGTACCAAACACAATGAATTATTGTGAAATGTTTGGAAGAGCAGGGAGACTAATGCTCACTCCAGCATAAACAAAGCCACACTGACGATGTGTCAACCACTCCCTCGTATTTTTGTACAACTTCCTTCTTCAATTATATCGTATTTATTATTATTATTATTATTATTATTATTATTATTATTATTATTATTACTATTGTTATTATTAGCAGTAGCAGAAATGTTTGATTCTTTGCTGTGTTTCAAGAGTAAACACATGATGTCACCGTCTAATACCTGTCCAAATAACCATTCCAATATGCAGTCATGAATGGGTTTACATTATTTATACTGCAGTTTAATAGCAAATAATGAACAAACAAAACACTCACCACACTGAGTGGTGGGAGGGCTGGCTGCCAGTTGCGGGGGTAGGAGGGAGGGTAGTAGGGACTCGCAGGTGGCAGGAAACTTGAATATGATTTGGCGGCTGGGAATTTGGCGGTTGGGAATTCGCGAATGTGTGAAGCCCGCGAAAGCTGAAAACGTGAATGTTGAGGGAGACCTGTATTTGTTAATTTATATGTTATGTAGCATGTTTATTATATAATTTTGAAAAAAATCATAGATGGATTAAGCAAAAGTCTATCTATATTAACGTTTTATACACATTTCATGTGCCTCAGTGATTATCATCATTATTAATATGGCATCTTCAAGACCAAGTACACTCTTAATGAGTGGCTCTGAGACAGACAAGCAGACAAAGACACACACACAGGTAGACAGACAGAAAGACAGACACACAGGTAGACACAGACACAGGTAGACACAAAGACAGACACAGGTAGACATAGACACACAGGTAGACAGAAAGACACACAGGTAGACAGAAAGACACACAGGTAGACAGAAAGACAGACACACAGATAGACAGATAGACACACTAGTAGACAAACAGACACACAAAGTTACAGACAGATATACAGGCAGACAGATACAGACAGGTTTATGTGCAACAGTGAAAACAAATAGAGAGTTCGAGAGTAAGAGCCTTTCTTGCCACAATCTCCAGTGCTAGATTCAGACTTCATCTTAGGGGCCATGGTGAAATTTACTGTCCAGTTAGTACAGTTAATACAGTATGATGCTGCTGATAGGGCAGGGTTACTCAAACTGATGCTGCCTGCATGACACATTGCCCCCGTGAGTATTGTCAAATATTGTACAGTGGTGTGCATCAGCTGGCCCAGCCCAGCTGCCAGATGCACGGTCGTAAGTCAAGTGGACGTATGTCGAGCAGGTCGTAAGTCGGATGGTAGGTGTATTTATAGATGGGGTTGTAAAAGAAGTAGATGCTAGGGTTTTCGGGAGAGTGGTGGGATTAAATTATGGGGAATCGAAATCAAAATGGGAAGTGTCACAGTTACATTTTGCTGATGATACTGTGCTTATGGGAGATTCTAAAGAAAAATTGCAAAGGTTAGTGGACGAATTTGGGAGTGTGTGTAAAGGTAGAAAGTTGAAAGTGAACATAGAAAAGAGTAAGGTGATGAGGGTATCAAATGATTTAGATAAAGAAAAATTGGATATCAAATTGGGGAGGAGTATGGAAGAAGTGAATGTTTTCAGATATTTAGGAGTTGACTTATCAGCGGATGGATTTATGAAGGATGAGGTTAATCACAGAATTGATGAAGGAAAAAGGTGAGTGGTGCATTGAAGTATATGTGGAGACAAAAAAAGTTATCTATGGAGTCAAAAAAGGGAATGTATGAAAGTATAGTGGTACCAACACTCTTATATGGGTTTGAAGATTGGGTTGTAAATGCTGCAGCGAGGAGGTGGTTGAAGGCAGTCGAGATGTTCTGTCTAAGGGCAATGTGTGGTGTAAATATTATGCAGAAAATTCAGTGTGTGGAAATTAGGAGAAGGTGTGGAGTTAATAAAAGTATTAGAGGGCTGAAGAGGGGTTGTCGAGGTGGTTTGGTCATTTAGAGAGAATGGATCAAAGTAGAATTACATGGAGAGCGTATAAATCTGTAGGGGAAGGAAGGTGGGGTAGGGGTCGTCCTCAAAAGGGTTGTAGAGAAGGGGCAAAGGAGGTTTTGTGGGCGAGGGGCTTGGACTTCCAGCAGGCGTGCTTGAGCATGTTAGATAGGAGTGAATGGAGATGAATGGTATTTGGGACTTGACGAGCTGCTGGAGTGTGAACAGGGTAATATTTAGTGAAGGGTTTCAGGGAAACTGGTTGTTTTATATAACCAGACTTGAGTCCTGGAAATGGGAAGTACAATGCCTGCACTTTAACTCTTTGACTGTTTCAGGCCCCTTTCTGAAACTGTCATTCTATGTCGCTAAATTTTTGAAAAAAAAAAAAATATTTCTTATGAAATGAGAATCTTTTCCCGATGGTAATGACACCAAAAGTTCGAGATATGGTCGAAAACTCATGGAATTACGCTCCCACGAAGTTAGAGGTCTCGGCGACATATGCGTATCGGCAATTTCTCCGACTTTGAGCTTATTTTTAGCCAATTCCGTTTTTCCAGTTGACCAAACTCATAGCTATTTCTTTAGAACTCCATTTTATCTATCCACTGAGTACAAGAAACCTCCCATTTACCAATTTGGACTACCCAATATTGTGGTCAAAAATTGGCAATTTGGCCAATTTCATGCAAACTAAAAAAGATGCCAATTTCAAAATAGGGTCCAGAATAAACAAGGTAGACATTCTTGGCACTAAAATAACATATCCTCTGTTCATTAGTCACATCTCTAGGCCCCTCTTATATTATTATTGCTTTCTATTTTGATTTTTTATTCATACAAAAAAATACAAAATTTACTGTTATGCAGACTACTGCATTATTGTAAAAATGGTATAAATAATATCAATGCACTAGTGAAAGAATATTAGACTCCCCAGTTGACATGTATTGGACGTGTGGTGTGATTTGTTTACTCCTGAACATTGGTAAAAATCGAACATTTCCGCTACTTTGAGCTCAGTTTCAAGGTCGTTTTCATCGTCAAAGTAATGAAAATCATCTATTTTTCTGTAATATGTTTTCCATTTTATCACCTAAGACCATGAAAACACAAATACATCGATAAATACTATACGAAAATACACCTCAAAGTCGGCATTTTAATCCAAAAAAACGATCAGTTTTTTCTCATTACTCACTGTGTGCTGCAGGATTTTTTTATGTGGTGCACACTGACCACACAGACCCATTCTCTCACATGCGGGCCTACCAGCTTTCTTCCGCTTGATTTGAAGCCGCTAGAATTATTGAGTATATATACGTCTGAAACACTGGCTCGCAAGACGTATATATACGACCAAAACAGTCAAAGGGTTAAAGGAGGGGTATGGGATATTGGCAGTTTGGAGGGATATGTTGTGTATATACGTATATACTTCTCAACTGTTGTATTCTGAGCACCTCTGCAAAAAACAGTGAATGTGTGAGTGAGGTGAAAGTGTTGAATGATGATGAAAATATTTTCTTTTTGGGGATTTTCTTTTTTTTGGGGGGGTCACCCTGCCTCGGTGGGAAATGGCCGACTTGTTAAAAAAAAAAAAAAAACTGTTGTGCATGTGTCTTACTTGTCATCATTTATGAGGGGATTCAGGAAAATCAGTTAGTTGGATTTGGGAAGTATGGTACCTACACCCTGAAAGAGGAGTGGGAATGTTGCAGTTCAAAAGTTCATTTGAATTGCCATGTCTGTACACTTCTGGCAAGATGGGGATTAAATGAATAATGATCTTTTTTTTTTTTTTTTTTTTTTTTTTTTTTTTTTTGTTTTTGCCAACATATCTTGAGAGACAGCTGGTGTGTGAAAATAAATAATTAAAAAACAATGCAATAATAATAGTTATGGAGAGAGAGGAATGGTATTAAGGGTTTGGTTGACTACTTAGGAAAGCATAACAAAGCACAATACCGTGACTGTAACAATACACAAATACCCCTCATATAAGAGAAAGAAACTTAGGACAACGTTAGAAGTTTGTCTTCTATGTGCAGGTTGTTTGTGTATAGTTAGGAAAGTGTCATCTATATGTTGTAACTCATCAAAGTGTTTTTCCTCATGCCAACAGTTTCCAACAACAGCACATTCCACCTGGACTCTGATGAGCCAGAGTTCCCGGGTATTGGCCAATATGACGACTTCCACACCATTGATTGGCAGCGCGATGTTGCCAGGGATCGCATGCGCCACCGCTACATCATCAAAAAGAAAGAAGACAGCATGTGGGACTGGGTCAAGAGTGGTCATGATGCCTGGTCGGGATGGCTGTGTGTCTTCAAGGTGGGAGTTATTGCAGGTGAGCCACACACTTTTAAGTACAAGAGGGCCCTATATATACATCACCTATTTTTGGTGTTCCGCATTTTTGTTGGCTTTTAGTTGAGCCAATGTTCCATCCACTGGTGACAATCACTGGCACGTGGAACATAATGAGCTATTGCTCAGTTTGATGCCAGTGAAAATGTGGAATACCAAAAAGAAGGTGCTGTACAGGTGTTCCTCGACTATGATGGAGGTTACATTCCAACAAACCCATCATAAATAAAAAATATTGTAAGACAAAAATGAATGTGATGTGATAAATTAAGTAAATAAATGTCACTGATTAAGTAAATAAAAAATAATTTCTGTAACTGACTAAATACCGGTATTGAAATGTAAATACAGTGGAACCCCGGTTCACGATACTAATCTGTTCCTGAGAGCTCATCGTAAACCAAAAATATCGGAAAGCGAATAAATTTTCCCCATAAGAAATAATGGAAATCAAATTAATCCGTGCAAGACACCAAAAAGTATGAAAAAAAAAACTTTTACCACATGAAATATTAAGTTTAATGCAATAGAATAGTAATTACAATAACAACAATAACAATAAATAACGAAAGAATAATTGACACTTACCTTTAATGAAGATCTGGTGATGATTGATGGGATGGGAGGAGGGGAGAGTGTAGATGGTGTTAGCATTTAGAAGGGGAATCCCCCTCCATTAGGACTTGAGGTAGCAAGTCCTTTTCCGGGGTTACTTCCCTTCTTCTTTTAATGCCACTAGGACCAGCTTGAGAGTCACTGGACTTCTGTTGCACAACTTAACTGGCAGCCTCACCATGCCTAATCACACTGTATACCACTACGATTCTTAAATCTTTCAAACCAACCTTTGCTGGCCTTAAATTCACTCACATCACCACTAGTTGCAGGCAATTTTTTTACCAAATCGTCATGCAACTGCCTAGCCTTTTCACAAATGATTGCTTGAGAGATGCTATCTCCTGCTATCTGTCTTTCATTTATCCACACCAATAACAGTCTCTCAACATTTTCTAACACTTGCGGTCGCTGTTTCGTAATCACAGTTGCACCTTTTGCAAGAACAGCTTTCTTGATTGCCATTTTCTTGCTCACTATAGTAGAGATGGTTGATTGGGGTTTACTATACAACCTGACCAGCTCCAACACACGCACTCCACTTTCTTACTTTGCAATTATCTCTTTCTTCATTTCAACAGTCATTAGCACCCTTGGTCTCGAAGGGTTGGCACTGGGAGCTTTCTTGGGGCCCATGGTGACTTATTTTGCAAAAACAGGCACCAAAAACAGTGATAATATGGATAATATGGAATGTACCGAATGTATCCTTAGATGCGCACACACTGGCTGGCTTGTAAACACTGGCACACACGGGGCAGTTCAGGCCACACATAGACACGTCTCATACGAACCACATCGCATACCGGGTTTTGTATCGGGAAGCGAGGCAAATTTTCTTCGATATTATGCATCAGTTACCGGATTTATCGGATACCGATAGCATTGCGAACTGGGGGTCCACTATACAGTGGACCTTCAGTTAACGATTTTAATCCATTCCAGAGAGCTTGCCCTTAACCGATTTTATCGTTATCCGATTTAATTTTCCCCATAAGAAATAATGGAAATCCAATTAATCCGTTCCTGCTGTCAGGAAGCATGACAGAATAGTACTTCAGTATGAAGCTATTATTACTCTGCAGCTTATTTATCTGTCATAATTCATCTAATATGACATAATAAACAATATTAATAACATAGAAACATGATATACAGTGGACCCTCGACCAACGATGGCATCGTATAACGTTAAATCCGACTAGCAATACATTTTAACGCAAAAATTTTGCCTCGACTAGCGCTAAAAAACTCGACCAACGCGATTCATTCCGTTCGAGTCGCGTCCACATGTGGCCTGCACAGTGTTTACAAGCCAGCACCGCGGTCGCATCCAAACATACAATTGGAACATTTCATATTATCACAGTGTCTTTAGTGATTGCACCTGCAAAATAAGTCACCATGGGCCCCAAGAAAGCTTCTAGTGCCATCCCTGTGATATAAAGGGTGAGAATTAGTATGGAAATTAAGAAAGATTTTGAAGGGTTTGGGGCTAACCCGGAGATGCCTATGCCAGTTGTGGAATCCATTGTGCCTACTTCAAAGATTAAGGAAATGTGTGCAAAGTGGGTTGAACTGCAAACCTTTATGGATGAAAATCACCCTAACACAGCTATTGCAAGCCGTGAATATCAAAATGGTATACAATACCGACAGGATGGTAGTTAAGACACATAGGCAACATTTAAGCAACTTTGTTCTGAAACGTTTCGCCTACACAGTAGGCTTCTTCAGTCGAGTACAGAAAGTAGGCAGGAGCAGTAGAGATGTGACGACGATGTAATCAGTCCATCACCCTTAAAGTCGTAGATTTGAGTTTGTCAGTCCCTCAGCCTGGAGAAGTTCTGTTCCAAAGACTGGAGCTAATTGAAGATCAAGCGACAGTGTTGAGACTTCAATACTGTTGGAAAGAGAGGTGCAGAGTAGTAGTAGTGAGATTGTAGCCACTGAGAGGTCACGTCCCTCTCAAGCCATTTCCAGTACTAAAACCAATCAAAATCATCTCTATTTCTGTAGTATATCTTCCATTCTATCAAATGAGACCAAGAAATTGCAAATACAACTATAAAAAACGTAAACGTAAAGCCGTAGATCTATGGCAGGGACCCCGAAAGGGTTAAAGGAGGAGTGTGGGAGTCAGGAGGGACATGTAAACTCGTATCTGAGCGCTTCTGCAAAGACAGTGTTTATGTATGAGTGATGGTGAAAGTGTTGAATGATGATGAAAGTTTTTTTTTCTTTCTTTTTGGGTCACCCTCCCTTGGTGGGAAACGGCCAACATGTTAAAAAAAAAAAAAAAAAGTTACGGACTTGTCACTTTCATGCTGGGTAATTATCTTAGGTTTCATCACCAAAGTAATTGCTTTTGCACCATCATAAAGTCAGAATATTGTAAGTTTAACCATGACAGGTCGATGCACACCTGTATTTATAAATAGAGTTTGGAAAGGCATCTAAATTGTACTATCTGTGTGCCTCTGGCAACACTGAGAGTGATTGATGGTGAAAGTGTTTTTTTTTCCCTTGGTCATCCTGTCCTAGAATGTTAAGAAAGCTCATGTTTTGAACTCTCAAACACCAAGACATCTTTATTTCCACATATTACGTACTTAGATTTTACAAAATTGGATGACGGAATTTTGACTTCAGTCTAGACTGTCAGAGTAGAACCCTCAAAACCACTATTTCACAAAAAAAAAGAGAGATGTTTATAGACTTTTTTATTCTAAAGATGTTATTCATAAAGATGATATTTCACTTTTACTGACCTTTGATATGGTAGGAATGATGTGTAGAAGAATTTGTGGAATACAATTCAGTTCAAGTTTATTTCCACGTGATACATTCTTTATACAGTAATGGGTGACACTTGAATGCATGCATAAAACCCATGGCTATGCAGATCATTTCAGACAAGCTTAACCCCTTGACTGTCACAACCCCCAATCCTGAGGTGTCTCCTGGTGTTGCAAAATTTCCCCCCAAAAAAAAATTATTTTTTCTCGTGAAGTGATAGAGAATCTTTTCCCGATTGTAATGACACCAAAAGAACAAAATTTCATGGAAAACTGATGGAATTACGCCCTCACGAAGTTAGTGACCTTGGCGATATTCACGAATCGGTGATTTCGCCCACTTTGAGCCTTATTTTCGGCTAATTCCATTGTTCCAGTCGACCAAACTCATAGCTATTTCTTTAGAACTCCATTTTTTCTATCAATTGAGCACAAGAAACTGTCCATTTGCTGATTTTAACTACCCAGTAAAGTGGTCAGAAATTTGCAATTTGGCCAATTTCACGAAAATTAAAAAAATATGACAATTTCAAAATAGTAGGGTCTAGAATGAACAATGCAGACATTCCTGGCTCTAAAATAGCATTTTCTTTGTTAATCGGTCATGTCTCCAGGCCCCTCTGATATTACTCTTACTTTCTATTTTGAATTTTTATTCAAACAAAAAATAGAAGATTTACTGTTATGCAGACTACTGCAATATTGTAATAATTGTATAAATAATGTCAACCCATTCATGACTTCATATTAGAATGGCTACTTGGACATTTATTGGAAAACGACATCATTTGTTTACTTTTGAACTTTGAGCTCCATTTCAAGGTTCTTTTCATAGTAAAACCAATCAAAATCACCTCTAATTCTATAATATGTTTTCCATTCTATCAAATGAGACCAAGAAAACGAGAATACAGTGGAACCCCGGCTTAGGATATTATTTCATTCCAAAAGTATGTTCAGGTGCCATTACTGAACGAATTTGTTCCCATAAGGAATATTGTGAATTAGATTAGTCCATTTCAGACCCCCAAACGTACACATACAAATGCACTTACATAAATACACTTAAATAATTGGTCGCATTGGGAGCTGATCGTAAAGCGGGGATCCACTGTACAACCATAAATACTATACGAAAATAGACCACAAAGTTGGCATTTTAATTAAAAAAAAATGTTTGAGTTTTTTTTTTTCTCATGCACTGCGTGCTGCAGGATTCCTTTTTATATGGTGCACACTAACCACACAGACCCATTCTCTCACATGTGGGCCTACCAGCTTTCTCCTGCTTGATCTGAAGCCGCTAGAGTTTATGAGTATATATACGTCAAAAATGGTAGCTCGTAAGACGTATATATGTGTCAAAAAACGGTAGCTCGTTAGACGTATATATATGACCAAAACTTAAGGCTACAGAAGCAGTAAACATTACATGTATGTTATTAGGGACAAGTGTATACAAATAATATTAAGTGTTTGGATTATGAACCAAGAGAGTAAGAAAGGATGACTCAGTGAAACCAATATCAGACTGATTTATTGCCTTGGGAGTCCTTTAATCCTCTGCCCACGGATGCACAATAGCTGCCTAACACAGAGGTACCTACTTACTGCTAGGGAAACTGGTAGCAGGTGTAAGGATACCTACCAATTGTTTCCACTCATGTGGAGGATTGAAACCTGGTCCCTCACTATGTGAGCTGAGAATTCTGCCAGATGAGCCACAAGATGGACTTACGGCACTTGGACTATAGGTATGTTGAGTGTAGCGTACTCAAGTATTTATTTCGTGTAACAGGTGCTGTTGCTGGAATGATTGACATTGGGACCAGCTGGATGTCTGACCTCAGGTTTGGGATCTGTCCTGAGGCCTTCTGGTTTAACCAGGAACAGTGCTGCTGGTCATCAAATGAAACATTCTATGATGGAGATAATTGTTCCAAAGTAAGTACAGCAGTTGTTCCATTTCAGAGTAAGTACAGCAGTTGCTTCCAAGTAATTACAGCAGTTGTCCCAAAGTAAGTGCAGCAAGTGTTCCAAAGTAATTACAGCAAGTGTTCCAAAGTGCAGCAGTTGTTTGAAAGTAAGTGCAGCAATTGTTCCAAAGCAGTTACAGCAGTTGTTCCAAAGTAAGTGCAGCAATTGTTCCAAAGTAATTACAGCAATTGTTCCAAAGTAATTATAGCAATTGTTCCAAAGTAATTACAGCAGTTGTTTCAATATAAGTGCAGCAATTGTTTCAAAGTAAACACAGTGTGTTAACTCATTGAATGGAGGGATTGAACCCCTGGTCAGCCACTGCTAACAGGCCAGTGGTTTCCCATGGGTTTGAACCCTAAATGCAGAGAGTTGTTTACAGTCATGTGTGCAGTTTCATGTGCTTTTGTGTTTTGTCATATTTGTTTATATTTTTTTTATTAACACATCCATTTTGCACCAAGGCAGAGTGGTCCAAAAAGAAAAAAATCATTTACTCCATCACTTTCTTGCCAGAGTCATGCTTACACTACTGTTATAAAACTGCAACATCAGTGTAAGCATGACTCTGGCAAGACAGTGATACAGTGAATGATGATTGAAGTTTTTCTTTTTCGGGCCACCCTGCCTTGGTGGGAAATGGCTGATGTGTTAATAATAAAAAAATTAAAAAAAAATATGACAAAATACAAATGCACATAAAGCTGTGGCATGTTATATCACGAAGAGTTGTCACTCTTCATGTTATCACAGAGGAGCTCAGTAAGGCCATTCATGTTTGCTTCTGTAACTCTGACTCCTCTACAGGTTCTCTCTCTACCCTTAATCAGAAAAATCCAAGTAAAACATACACCTAGAATTGGCTCACTATTCACAGAAGGCTCAAACACTGATGACAAAAAAAAACAAAAAAATTAAATTCTGAAAGACCAGAATGACTTAGTGTTTGGTCATCTGCTAAAGGAGGGGTAAGCTGAGGTTCCAGAATGTTTTTGTATCACATCTGTCAACTCTTAAAGTCACACATATTACACGAATACAAATCCCCCAGAATTCAAAAAGGAAATAGAAAACAATGCATGCCTCCCAAATACAGTAACTTTATTCACACCACTAGCACAAGCATTCAGTATTCTTTGGAAAAAGAGCTAAGATCTAGGTGAAATCCCAGAAGTGTTAAAAGTGCATACAGAGCTACTTTGCATAAAGGAGGCAGTAGAGCCCTGGCAAAAATTGACTTATCAGTAGCACTAACACCACACATCTTTAAGTCTTAGAATGGGTGGTGAGATACTAAGTGACCTCAACAAACCAAGTCATTGTGGATTTAGAGCTGGAAGATCACGCTTGTTGCAACTACTAGATCATTATGACTAAATGACAGAGGCTTTGGAAGATGCCTAAAATGCAGATGTGCTCTACGTAGACTTCACTGTGGTCTTTGACAAATATGATAGACAAAGAAGTTAGGCAACTAGGTCTAGCCAATAGAACATGCCTAGTAGTAGAGTAGTAAAAGCAAAATCTAACCCTAGCAGAGTATGATAAAAAATTCAGTAGCACATCTTGTACTGATTTTTAAATATTTCTAGTGAACTCAGTGTTATTCACAGTGGACCATATACTGTACAAGGTTTCACTGCTTTTGGATAGGAAAGGTTGGAGGGAGGGGGTAAAGAAAGTTTTGTGTGCAAAGGACATGGCCATCCAGCAAGCCTGTGTGAGCATGTTAGGTAGGACTGCATGGAAGCAAGTGGTTTTTATTTTTTTGACAGCTGTTGGATTGTGAGCAAGGTAACATCTATGAAGGGATTCAGGGAAACCGGTTAGCCAGACTTGAGTCCTGGAAGTGGGAAGTACAGTGCCTGTGCTCTGAAGGAAGAGTGGGGGGATATTTGCAGTTTTGAACTGTAGTATTGAGGTGCCTCTGGCAAGACAGTGATGGAGTGAATGATGGTAAAAGTGTTGATTCTGTTTTTTGGTTCATCCTACCTTGGTGGGAGATGGTTATTGTGTTAAGAAAAAAAATACTGTGAAACAGTGTCAAGAATAATTTTACTTACCTGAGAGGTGCTGGTGTAAGTAGTGAGGTGTAAATTTTTCACAACTGATGTCAGATTTATTTCTGAAGGTGACACACTCTAAACTTAGTGTTATTATTCCTGGACATGTTTTGAATATACATACAATAAATACATGAAACTGATCTCCAAACCATGAAAATGAATTTGAAAACATTATCTTCAGATCATTACATGGCACTGTGTTCTACACTCACATGCAAGGCTAAACATCCACACTTGACTACATGTATAGATCTCTCCATGGAAAAGTGGAAGAGAATGTTTCCTCTGTAAGCCATGAGTGTTGTAAGAGGAAATTAAAATGCCAGGAGCAAGGGGCTAGTAACTCCTGCTGTGTAAATTAATAAATGTAAAAGCAAGGAGAGCTTTTATTGTTTTCTCTTTTGGGTCACCCTGCCATAGTGGTCACTGCCTCAGTGGTGGTCACCTTGCCTCAGTGGTGGTCACCCTGCCTCAGTGGTGGTCACCCTGCCTTGGTGGTGGTCGCCCTGCCGTAGTGGTCACTGCCTCAGTGTTGGTCACCCTGCCTCAGTGGTGGTCGCCCTGCCTCAGTGGTGGTCACCCTGCCGTAGTGGTCACTGCCTCAGTGGTGGTCACCCTGCCGTAGTGGTCACTGCCTCAGTGGTGGTCACTGCCTCAGTAGTGGTCACCCTGCCGTAGTGGTCACCCTGCCGTAGTGGTCACTGCCTCAGTGGTGGTTACCCTGCTGTAGTGGTCACTGCCTCAGTGGTGGTCACCCTGCCATAGTGGTCACTGCCTCAGTGGTGGTCACCTTGCCTCAGTGGTGGTCACTGCCTCAGTGGTGGTCACTGCCTCAGTGGTGGTCACTGCCTCAGTGGTGGTCACTGCCTGTGCCGTAGTGTGGTCACCTGCCTCAGTGGTGGTCACTGCCTCAGTGGTGGTCACTGCCTCAGTGGTGGTCACTGCCTCAGTGGTGGTCACTGCCTCAGTGGTGGTCACCCTGCCATAGTGGTCACTGCATCAGTGGTGGTCACCCTGCCATAGTGGTCACTGCCTCAGTGGTGGTCACCTTGCCTCAGTGGTGGTCACTGCCTCAGTGGTGGTCACTGCCTCAGTGGTGGTCACTGCCTCAATGGTGGTCACCCTGCCTCAGTGGTGGTCACTGCCTCAGTGGTGGTCACTGCCTCAGTGGTGGTCACCCTGCCTCAGTGGTGGTCACTGCCTCAGTGGTGGTCACCCTGCCTCAGTGGTGGTCACTGCCTCAGTGGTGGTCACTGCCTCAGTGGTGGTCACCTCTGGCCGCTCAGTGGTGTCACCTGCCTCAGTGGTGGTCACCCTGCCGTAGTGGTCACTGCCTCAGTGGTGGTCACCCTGCCGTAGTGGTCACTGCCTCAGTGGTGGTCACTGCCTCAGTGGTGGTCACTGCCTCAGTAGTGGTCACCCTGCCGTAGTGGTCACTGCCTCAGTGGTGGTTACCCTGCTGTAGTGGTCACTGCCTCAGTGGTGGTCACCTTGCCTCAGTGGTCACTGCCTCAGTGGTGGTCACCTTGCCTCAGTGGTGGTCACTGCCTCAGTGGTGGTCACTGCCTCAGTGGTGGTCACTGCCTCAGTGGTGGTCACTGCTTCAGTGGTGGTCACCCTGCCATAGTGGTCACTGCCTCAGTGGTCACCTTGCCTCAGTGGTGGTCATGCCTTAGTGTCACTGCCTCAGTGGTGTCACTGCTCGTGTCACTGCTCAGGTGGTCACTGCCTCAGTGGTGGTCACCTGCCTAGTGGTCACTGCATCAGTGGTGGTCACCCTGCCATAGTGGTCACTGCCTCAGTGGTGGTCACCTTGCCTCAGTGGTGGTCACTGCCTCAGTGGTGGTCACTGCCTCAGTGGTGGTCACTGCCTCAATGGTGGTCACCCTGCCTCAGTGGTGGTCACTGCCTCAGTGGTGGTCACCCTGCCTCAGTGGTGGTCACTGCCTCAGTGGTGGTCACCCTGCCTCAGTGGTGGTCACTGCCTCAGTGGTGGTCACCCTGCCTCAGTGGTGGTCACTGCCTCAGTGGTGGTCACCCTGCCTCAGTGGTGGTCACCCTGCCTCAGTGGTGGTCACCCTGCCTCAGTGGTGGTCACCCTGCCTCAGTGGTGGTCACTGTCTCAGTGGTCACCCTGCCTCAGTGGTGGTCACCCTGCCTCAGTGGTGGTCACCCTGCCTCAGTGGTGGTCACCCTGCCTCAGTGGTGGTCACCCTGCCTCAGTGGTGGTCACCCTGCCTCAGTGGTGGTCACTGCCTCAGTGGTGGTCACTGCCTCAGTGGTGGTCACTGCCTCAGTGGTGGTCACTGCCTCAGTGGTGGTCACTGCCTCAGTGGTGGTCACTGCCTCAGTGGTGGTCACTGCCTCAGTGGTGGTCACCCTGCCTCAGTGGTGGTCACTGCCTCAGTGGTGGTCACCCTGCCATAGTGGTCACTGCCTCAGTGGTGGTCACTGCCTCAGTGGTGGTCACACTGCCTCAGTGGTGGTCACCCTGCCATAGTGGTCACTGCCTCAGTGGTGGTCACCCTGCCTTGGTGGTGGTCATCCTGCCATAGTGGTCACTGCCTCAGTGGTGGTCACTGCCTCAGTGGTGGTCACTGCCTCAGTGGTGGTCACTGCCTCAGTGGTGGTCACTGCCTCAGTGGTGGTCACTGCTTGGTGGTCCTGCCTATGGTGGTCACCTGCCTCAGTGGTGGTCACTGCCTCAGTGGTGGTCACCCTGCCATAGTGGTCACTGCCTCAGTGGTGGTCACCCTGCCTTGGTGGTGGTCATCCTGCCATAGTGGTCACTGCCTCAGTGGTGGTCACCCTGCCTCAGTGGTGGTCACCTTGCCTCAGTGGTGGTCACCTTGCCTCAGTGGTGGTCACCTTGCCTCAGTGGTGGTCACTGCCTCAGTGGTG